TAATTTCCGCATATCAGGGAGCCATTTAAAGCCAGAGTATTTAAATCTCTTTTGAATGAGCGCTCGCTGTTCACTTTCACTTTCGATTTCGCAATCACGAGCGCTCTGTGTAAAGGAAGATCAGATATTTGTCAATGAGCTCAGGATCTGTTGAGCAGCAAATAATCCTCCAGCATTGTCACTCATCTCTCTCGACCCGTGATCAGTCAAATCTGACTCCTGCAGCTCGTGTTGGATGCAGGGTTGTCAAGTCCTTGTCTTTTCCATGGACTTCCATGGAAAATATGTATTTTAGGAATGGAAATTACATATTGTCATATGATCACGAGTGCCTTAATAACCAATCACATTACAGCCTTGACGTCACTGAATTTCAGTCCGAGCTGTGCGACACTCAATAACGTTTACGGATCCCATAGGAATGAATGAGAAATGCCGTAAGCTGAATCCTACCTGTCGCAAAAAGTCAGTGACTTCTCTTATAAAACGGCATTTTTTTTGGTGTAAACTCTAAAAATAGTTAAATCCAAAAGTATTGTTTAATGCAAAACATGTTGGAGATTAGCCGATAGGCTGTCGATTCATTGCCTGAGAAGTTGTTTCCTCTAAAAAGCTGTTTATTCAGCGTAGTGAAGCCTCTCCTCCATTGACATCCATTAAAAAAACGCCTCTGGTTTCCTTTCCCACGTACAGGCAAACCGGAAGCGTTAGCTTTAGCCGTTAGGCTTTTTTTAGCTAAAGGTTGCAGGCTTTCCTTCTAGTGGCTTTGGAGCAGACACATTCAGTTTAGTGTAGCGCACGTTTTCCAGCTGAACTAAATAATTTCAATATCTATAAAAAAAGCAAAGTGACAGTAGATACGGTGCCGCGGCGGGCAAGTAATGTAATCGGTGTACAACCAAACACCGTGTAAACACATGTATGTATCTTTATGTATCTCCATCATTCTTATATGGGCCAAATCGTGGGACTGCGTGTTGGCGGGAATTGAGAAATTGTATTCGAATATTATCAGTATTGACTTCAGTGGATTTCATTAAATTCCTTTGAACACGACTGCTCAAAACGGTCTAAATTTGTGAAAACCCACACATTCAAAACATCATTATCACTCTGGAATTTTTTATGTAAATGTTAAGTTCTGTAAGAGGTCTTTCATGACGCTACATACAGTGCCGTGAAAAGGTTTTTGCCCCCTTCCTGTTTTTTTTTTTTTTTTGCATATATGTCACACTTAAAAGATTCAGGTCATCAAACTAATTTTAATATTATACAAAGATAATGCAAGTAAATACAAAATGCCGTTTTTAAATGAGGATTTCTTTTATTAAGGGAAAAAAGCTGGCCAAACCTGCCTGGCCCTACATGAAAAAGTAATTGCCCCCTAAATCTAATAACTGGTTGTGCCACGCTTTGCGGCAACAACTGCAATCAAGTGTTTGTGATAACTGGCAATGAGTCTTTCACTTCGCTGTGGAGGAACTCTGGCCCGCAGTAATCAGGCCTGGGTGTGGCTAGTGAAATTTAACTCAGCTTTCTAAAATAATGTGCTTAATTGCAGTTCTTTCATGATTTAACAGGAGGGGGCAATTAATTTTGGGCCACGTAGGTTTGGACAGCTTTTTTCCCTTAATAAATGAAATTATCATTTAAAAACTGCATTTTGTATTTACTTGCATTATCTTTGTGTAATATTAAAATTAGTTTGATGATCTGAATCTTTTAAGTGTGACAAATATGCAAACAATTAAAAAAACAGGAAGGGGGCAAAAACTTTTTCACACCACTGTATGCTGCGGCGTGAATTTGATAGGTGCTTGATATAAAATAAATGGTGATTCAAAAAGTCCTTAAATCTGGTGTTCATGAAAGAGTGGGAACCCTGTGAATGCCATTGTATTGAAACAACTGATCAAGAAACATGATGGTTTTTCATCAAACCAAAATCTATGTCCCCAGAAAACTTGAAATACACAGCACAAGTCATTGGGGTTCATTATGTTTTACTTTTGCATCTTTTTCTTAAAGCTGATTGCCGTTCACTGCCACTATATGGACGAGCACGAGCAGGACATGATTTCTTGCTCTGTTCTGTCTTATTCTGTTACATAATGTCAACATTGTACCTTGGTAACAGAGTTTGACGGTAACAGAATTGACACTGACTTATTCAGATAACAAGAAATCATGATTTTTTTAGCTTTTTAAGACAGAACATTTTTACAGAAAATATTATATTTTTATGGCCTGTAACATCCTGTGATTCATGTCAATGAGTAACAAATTATTAAAATAATCAAAAATATAACAATTTGAAAAAGCAGAAAAAATGACTTTGGACACCAAATGTCCTTGCAATTATTGAATCAATATACTAATCACATGGCAAGTAGCAAGTAGGCAGTGTATTAATATGGTATCTATTCTTCTCATTCTAAAGTCCATATGGGGTAAGGTCAATAATTCATAACTGTGCAGCCAAATCTGGCCTGTGACCAACTGGCTGATATGACATTCTTCATTGGGCTTCATATTTTCTAAAAGGACTATTAATTTCTGTAGAGATAAACATTGAAGCATTTATATGTAAATGAGCGATTGAAAGCCATTAGCGATTTTTACCACTGCACTTCAGTACTTGATTGTTTGGACAGGTAAGCATTCTTACACATGCTACAGTTTATATTCTCTGTCAAATATGATGTAACTGTTTTAATACAGTCTGTATCATAGAAGTCTAACTTGTTATTCTGTTTTTTATTTTGCAGAAGTTCATTGCTCAACTTTTGTTAAATGTAATACAACTTACTTGGTTACTATAGTCCCGGTTACTACAGTTTTACTCGGGTACGATTACTGTAATATTACTACAGTAGAACCATGGTATCAAAACCATGGTTTTTAAAACCAAGTATGCACCAAGCATGGTTACTACAGTTTTACTATAGTAAAACCATGGTTAATTTTCGTAAGGGTATAAGCTTTTATAACAGTACTTCTGTGATTCTTTGAATATTTGTAACACAGCAATGGTTGAAAAGGCTGTTTGTGAAGCCGTTTCGTATGACAGCTGCCCTCTTTAGGTCAGAGATCTGTTAAACGATCTGTTAAAGACACCTCTCTTGCAACATGTTAGCTTATCACAAATGTTACACATTTTTACAAATATGTTCGGCTTCTGATTTCACAAATGTAGCCAAACTTTGGAGCACTTAGATTAGTGATGAAGGTCCTGGCAGATAAAGCAAAGCAAGCAAAGCAAAGCAAAAAAAGAATCGATTGGCGGAACACAGGAATCGATTGGCGGAATTAAAATTTTAATGTTACAACAAGCATCCAATTCTGGAATTGGAATAGATTTTTGATTCCCAACCCTAGTAGACCGGGACAACTTTAAAACGAGTGGTTATAAATCTGTAAGATCTTACCTTCAATGCTGTGGAAATACAAACCTGAAGACCAAACACAACGAACACAGTTCTGAAATGAGGCAGGGCTACACAAAATCTACAAATTTACAATACAGTTTGAGCAGGACCGGCTTACTGTTAGTGTCCCAGTGATAACTCAGCATCCAAACTACTATACAGGGATGAGAATGATGGCCAACGAATGTGTTTTAGCATAAAGCTGTAGAAATAATTATTATTTAGCTCCCCAGCTTCTTTCAGTTGACTCAACAATCTGCACCTTTCTAGTGCACAACTTTTTTAGATATTTGCAGCTCCAACTTTTTGTTAGAAATGAATTCCCTGTCTTTCCGAATCGTCCACCAAAATCTCAACTTGATCAAATTCTAGATAAAAGGGATGTGTTGAGTTATTGACTCCTCTATATGCTCTATATAATCCTCCATTTCTACTCCTCCTGATAGCACTTGTACATCTCAGAGATGTCTATTTGATGTCTGCATTACATCTGCTAGATGTATTTTTCAGAGTGTTTGCTCATCTGCGATACGTCTATAGGACGTTTCCTATCAGATGTCAAATAGACGTTTAGAAGATGTCTTTAAGATGTTTCCACAAATGTTTTCGCTTTTCTGCTATGAGAAAGAAAATTACATACATACTCATTATACGTATTACAGTATAATTATGTATTGAATATGTTTATTAATGTATGTATTTTAAATTTAGCATGTTTAATCAAAAATGTTTTATTTTTTTATTTTATGCTCTCTTTTTTAAGGTTGGGGTGGAGTGGGAACAATATTTTTTCACGGCTCTCCTGTATTTTTATCCTGTAACTACTGTAAAAGTTCAATAAACAAATTAAGCAGAATAATCGTATAGCAATCATTAAAAACAAGAACCCATCTTATTAAGAGCTTAAACTCATATCCGATCAAACTGAATCTGAAACATCCTTATTTAAATGTTTTGTATATGGATACTGACTCTTTCTGAATCTGACTGGGGTTGATGGTTATCAGATCCGTCTTCAGCCCAACATCACTGTCATTAATCGACGCCAAATTAAACCTGAAACACAGATAAATACACACACACAAACACACAAATATACGCACACACACAGAGAGATAAATACACACACACACACACACACACACGTAGTAAATAGAAATTGGCAATACTTAGATGTTTTAGTAAAGGACACACACCTATACTGAAAACACAAATGTCACCATACATCATACCTACACATATTTGCATTGCTTTGACCGTTCTCTCTAGATCCCGCCTTCTTGCACGCCACGATCCGTCAGTAATATACAAGACTCACATGCTGTCAATCAAACATTTCAGACGGTAATTTGAACACAATAGGAAACAAAGCCAAAACCTGAACATTTTAGGTGCTTTAGAAATCCCGTGAAAAGAGTATCGTCAACCTATGCACTCTATAGGGCTTGACTGGTTTGACAGGTTGTGTGACATTCAGAGGACAAATCTGCTCAAAAATCAATGCACACAAGCACGCAAAAATAGAGATAGCCTAAAGAGTTAATGAGTTAGAAATGTGTATTCATAACACACCTCGGGCAGCATGCTGTGAAGGGTTGCATTCATTGTAAAAGTGCTTGTAATGCTTGTCTCATATGGGATGGTCTGATTGACGGCTGTGTTTCGTTTGGTGAGGAATAACGATCCTGTGGCATTACAGAAAAACTGCAGACTCAATCTGCCATAAACACACACACACACACACACACACACACACACGCACGCACGCACACACACACACACACACACACACATACATACACACTATGCACTCTATAGGGCTTGACTGGTTTGACAGGTTGTGTGACATTCAGAGGACAAATCTGCTCAAAAATCAATGCACACAAGCACGCAAAAATAGAGATAGCCTAAAGAGTTAATGAGTTAGAAATGTGTATTCATAACACACCTCGGGCAGCATGCTGTGAAGGGTTGCATTCATTGTAAAAGTGCTTGTAATGCTTGTCTCATATGGGATGGTCTGATTGACGGATTGACGGCTTTTGGTGAGGAATAACGATCCTGTGGCGTTACAGAAAAACTGCAGACTCAATCTGCCATAAACACACACACACACACACACACTCACACACACACACACACACACACACACAGAGAAAGAAACAGTTTATGAGGGCTCATTTTACACGAGCAATCAAAAGCTTTACCTGACTGATCTCAGCATTCAAAGATTAAAAAAAAGTCCCGTCTCATTAAACACAGCGATTACAGTGAACAACAATGACAATGTTTTTAGAAAATATTCAAAGTCAATATGAAATTGCAATAACTACACTCTCAGAAATAAAGGTTTTAAAAGTGCGTTTGATGAACTCGTAGAAGAACTATATTTAGCTTCCCTAAAGATCCTTTCAGCGAACATTCTTAAAATAACCACTTCTTATAGTGTCAAGAACATTTTCAGTTTTCACTATACATAAAAAATCCTTCTGTGCGATGTAAAGATTCCATTGAAGTTCAAGGTTCTTCAAGGAACCACCAACATTTATCCTATCCTATATTTAACCTTTATCTTTAAGAGTGATAAAGGGAATATAGTGTACACTCTTAAAAATAAAGGTGCTTAAAAGGTTCTTCACAGCGATGCCATAGAAGAACCATTTTTAACCATTCAGTCAAAGGTTCTTTAAAGAACAATCTCTTTCTTAGCTTTTTATAATCTGAAGAACCTTCTTTCGCCTCAAAGTGAAACAGAAAGGTTCTTCAGATGTTAAAGGTTCTTTATGGAACCATTTAGACACAAAGAAGGTTCTTCAATGGCATCACCGTGAAGCACCTTTAGTTTTAAGAGTGTCGGATCAGGATTATGTCAGAAGGGTTTCATGAATCTAACAAGTTGCGCCGACACAAAATCAGACATAATATAGTGACTCGGCATCATTTGAGAATCTCTGAATATTTCTGTCTACGATATCAAACTCAATCTTGAAATATCAAGTGAAGACACATGAGTCGATCTCTTAAGTTCAAGATTTGACATGACAGTGTAGCTCAACAACTTCACTTCTACCCCACAACTGCACTGAGATTATAAAGGAATGCAAGGCATCATGTTGTTCCGGTGCTTCAGCTTTCATCAAGTTGTCCAAGTTTATACAAAAGCATCTGCCAAAAGCAAAGAAGAGGCACAAACCTGTTCACCTCTCGCTCGGTTGTGTTTGATCTGTACGGGCAGCTCATGAAATCTGATAGCCCCCGCGTGAAGCTCTGCAGATTTACACTGAGAAAGAAACAAAGACATTGAATGATGTTATCAGTGCTCTGAAACGGAAACGTCGCTGCTTCATCTTTGATTCTCACGCACCTTTTGGCCGGTTTGATAATGGAAAACCTGCGTCTGAGTTTAGCGCAGTGCATCTGCCGAAGAGCGTTCGTCATCCCGTCTCTGAAAGAAAGAACGTTTTCAAAACCACTGTATCATATTTCAATTTGATTGAATTTCTAAGGCACTAAATGATCGGTCATAATCAAACTTTGCTGTCACACTCAATCTATACGGCATGCCTTCTGTTTAGAGGTGTTTATCCACTCAGAGCTCTTTTACTGTAACTGTAGCTGGAGCTTCAGTGTCTTTCTGCTGTCAAATAGACTTTGTAAAGAAATATGCTTCAGCAAGAGGTTTAAACAGTTTTCACTGCAGTAATTACAGAAATGAAGCAAAGTTCAAAGTTGACACAAACGGAGTACAAGCTTTACGATGTGCTGCAGAACAATCTCCGCCACTCATGTCCTGACCAAATCAACCTATATTACATCTAAATCTAAAACTTTTCTGTCCTGCTTAAAATCACAATGACATTTCTACCTAAAAATGACATTTAAACAACGATATTAAAATAAGACCCCACCAAAAAAACATTAGTAATGTAAGCTATTCGACAATTACTTAATAAGACTTAGAAACTACGACATGGGTATGAATCTCAGACTTTATAACAGCAACACAGTCTCATTTAAATTCGCAATTATTACAAAGAAATATTTACATATTAAAATGTTCACCTGGACGAGTGTGTGTTGGGTGTGTAATAAAACATCACACACACACCCTGAAAGACGATCAGGACCATCAGCAGCCTAAAAGTCCACCGGAGAAACGCCAACGCCATCAGAGAGACACGTGAAAGAGACTGCGTGTGTGTGAGATAAATTGAGGGGTTAAAGATAACACACACACACACCTCACAAAACCTGCTGACTTACTCTATAAACAAGTTCACTTGTCATTCATTCGTGTTGTGCAATATTGTCAGTGAAAACTCTATTTTTCCACTATTGTTACCAGAATGCTCCGTCAAAGAGTCGTATCTGGCTTTTAAATGTTGCTACTTTTTTCAGAATGTTCATCGAGCTTTGAACATGTATCACAGGCCCCTATGGAGCTTATAATATTACAAAACTAATTGAATTTGTATTGCATAAATCTGAATTACTGACAAGTGTCATTTCACAAAACTGAATATTATGTGGCGCTTAACATAGTTCTGAATTTTTATTTTTTTGACTTGAATATTAAACATTTGAAATGTAACACGACTGAATATATTTTCATGGCCAGAGTTTTCTAGACATGCATTTTCAAATTATTTTTGAAATATTTGCAGTCTAAGATTTCAGAACAAATAATTCACGGTTTGAAAATGCATGTCTAGAAAACTCTGCCATAAATATATGCCACATAATATTCAGTTTTGTTAAATGACACTACAATTTACACAATACAAATTCAATTTTTTTGTCATATTATAAGCTCCATAGGCCCCAGGCATAGTAGCATATTAACAATACCTCCGGCGCAGCTCAGTTATTAACTTTCACATTAGCATGATAATGAGTTCTCTTTCAATGTTTTCACCATTAGCCCATTTCACGTTTCATGTAATCAAAAATGCAGGTTTGTACAATTCATTTTGTGTTATTTCACAACAATAAAGTCTTCAAATATAGTATCACTTTTGGACTTTCTCAAATTGTGTAAATCCACATGGGGTTCAGAGTCTAATTTTTTTTTATCCACAGTAATTTCACACTTGTCTAGTACAAATATAAAAAAAAAATAAAAAAAAGTGAAGTGACATGTGGGCAAGTACGGTGACCCATACTCAGAATTAGTGCTCTGCATTTACCCATCCAAAGTGCACACACACACAAGTGTGTGCAAACCTGGTCAAGAACTACAAGAAGCGTCTGACCTCTGTAATTGTAAACAAAGGTTTCTGTACCAAATATTAAGTTCTATTTTTCTATTGTATCAAATACTTATTTCATGCAATAAAATGGAAATTAATTATGTAAAAATAATACAATGTTATTTTCTGGATTTTTTTTTTGATTCTGTCTCTCACAGTTGAGGTGTACCAACGATGAAAATTACAGATCTCTCCATTCTTTGTAAGTGGGAAAACTTGAAAAATCAGCAGTGTATCAAATACTTATTTGCCCCACTGTAAATAAGACAGCTTAAAATGTTATCTGATCGCATGAAAAACAATATACAACAATAACAATATAAACAATATATAATCTGATTTTGGAGTTTGACAATGAACACATTGCAACCATGCTTGGGACGGCCCACAGAAACCAGCCACAATGCAACTGGAATTTAAAACCGGTTTTTGGATAGTTAGACAAGCATTAAAAAAATGATCTAAACTGATAAATAACAGATTGGAGATTAAAATAATAGCAGATTTGTCTAATTTGAAATGAGTCATAAAAACTGAGATGAAAACTTTTTACTATGGTAAAATAAATGTTCAGCGATATCTTCAAAACGCACTTTTCCCCTCTATATAATGTTGATATGGTAACTAGTAAATGCTGTAAATTTGGTTACGCTAGAATGTGTGGAAATATTCAAACCACGTGTGTTGCTACAACTAACCCATATGACTCTTATACATTAACACATCTAATCATTCTAGCCTCTGTGCACTTATCAGGATGACACACAATGCACTTTAGAGTTCCTTCACTCTTATACATTAACATAATGTAACATAACATAATCATTCTAGCCTCTGTGCACTTATCAGGATGACACACAATGCACTTTAGAGTTCCTTCAGTCATCCATCTTCTCCATTTTCTCTGTGAACACTATTATTATATACCATTTACACTTTGAACTCATGTGTCATCCTCATGCATATGTTATCTTGTATGCTATACTGTATATGTTACACTATTTCAACTGAGCTGGATGATGATATCACTGCCTTTAACTGAAAAGTGAGTGTTTACTATTGTCATTCAATAAAATGTCACTATTTAATACTGTAAAGTTGCTTTGACACATTCTGTATTTTTAAAAGCATAAAGGTGACTTGTATCATTTAAACTGTAACAGTTACACTTGATACAAATGATCAACGTCACAGGGGTAACAACATATAGGCTACATTACTCTAAACAATGATCACATACTGAAATAAATGGATTATTGTTTAGATGGAAATCGATTGTCACAACACAAAGCAGCATGCAAACTGTTATTTTACCATTACTTTCATCTGTTAGACTCTACCCAGAAAGCTATTCGCTTTCAATAATACAGGAAATGTGTCCCCGCGTGTTTTTACATTCATGAAGTCTCACAATTTCACTTTTTATGGCAACATACCTGAAGCATCAGGAGGAAAGCAGGGGCAGGTGAGCTTCTGTGGCGTTCCTCGGGCGCAGCGCAGCAGCATCTAATGTAAACAGCGCGCATCACCATACCAACTCACAACGCCTATTCATTTCTCCAGTGGTTCGAGCATCACAACTGAGAATACACCCTGGTGCATCACACACTCCCCAACAAAGACACGGTTTCTCCTGCCAGCATAACACCTCGTTGATTTCCACTCTTCTAGTACTCGATTGTCACAGGACGTACCCAATATGGAAATGTGGCTTGTGGCATGAGGAGAGAGTAAGGTGCACTAATGCAAGATGGGTAGAATGCGGTGTGGTGCAGTTTGGTGAGATCACGTCTCTGCACACGTTGAAAAGCCGTCCACTGAGGAGGCAGAGTTAAAGTTTTTACGACGTCTTTTTTGACGTCCGATGTCGACGTTCATGCAACCTCCGTACAAAGTTAAAAACTAGTTCAGATGTGGTCAGAGGACATCATTTAAGGCTCACTTAGACATAATTTATACTGTTTCTGCACCAAATAAACACTCTCAGGATGCATTCAATTTAAACTCACATTTATTTCAATGTAGTTTCCATTTGTTAAAGGGGCCATATAATGCTACATGTACTTTTACGAGTTGTTTGAACTGAAATGTGTGTTGGCAGTGTGTGTGGATTACGTATGTTTCTGAAGGGAATGCACCCCCGATCTACATAAATTCGTCTATGTTCTCGTGAATCATTCGTGATCCAGCTTCATCTAGAGAAGAAGTGAGTGTAAGGTTTTGTAATGAATCTTTGCAAACCGTCTTACCTAATAATGTGCTAATTAGCAAGTTTCACGATGAATGTAGCTAAAGTAAAGTCTCTCTGAGAGCAGCTCGGAAGAGAGGGGCGGGGTCAGCAGAGCTCATTAACATTTAAAGGGAAATGCTACAAAACGGCTTGCTCTGAAATGAGCTGTTTTTGACAGGGTAAGAAATGTGTGTTTTTTACACTACCATTGAGAAATTTTACTAAACTAAACTAAACTATGTTACAGACTTTTCATTAAGACCCTAAAGGATCATATCAACTTGTGGAAAATGGGCATCCTATGACCCCTTTAATGCAAAGCAACTCACAGATACAGTGTTTGTCCAAAAAGCATGAAAATAAAAGAGTCTTCACTGAAACAGCGTTGAAGTTTATGACATAATTAAATGATCAAATTACTGATGATTGAGCATTTGGTAAAATGCGGTGTGGTGGACAGTGTTTGCTTATTGGTTCTCATACTTCTTGTGATAGCTTTTTTTTTGGCTGCTGTAACTGTGATTTTGTGAAACACAGTTGTTGTGCAGAGAAGGCCAAAATAAAGCAAGATCAGGGGCCTGTACCATGAAGCCAGATTAGCTGGCTGGCCAGGTAAGTTTCAGTTTAGTTTGCACCAATCGTGGGTTTTAGGTACCATGAAAGTGGCTTGGCTTTTAGCGGCATTCATTGCCTAAGTAACTTACACTCCACAGCTAACCTGCTCTGGGCCAGGTTATGTTCTGGTTTAGAGATCTCAAACCCAAATTTGACCAATCAGCTTCAAGCAAAGTGACACATGTCTGACGCAATAAAGCCACTCCCCCAGTTTCTCTTACTCCAAATTAAAGGACGCTACATATTTAAAGATAAAATTGTCTGAATTTAGAGATAATTTTTTATGATTATTTTATATGATTTATATAATTATTATAACCTTAATCCATTACACAAGCTAGCTTAGTTTAATAGTAATTATTAAGCTTTTATTTTAAATTAATAATACTACAATACTACTTTAATACTACAATTGATTGCTTCCTAATTTGTAAGTCGCTTTGGATTAAAGCGTCTAATAAATGACTAAATTAATTAATTAATTAATTAATATAAACATATAGATAATATGCAATATAAATACGTTTTAAACATGACTACAACCTTTACAACTTTTACTTGCATTTATAAGGCAAGATGTTTTAAGTTTTCCTCTTTCATGGATAGATCGTTTCATCTTGAAAATGTGTTTAAATTCATCATATTGTTCAATATTTTAATCTTTGGTAGTGAATCGCACTGACTCTCTGGCGAGAAGTGAATCACAGTTTCAAGGCATCTGATTGGCTGTTCATTACTCATGTCACTCTTTCATGTGCATGTGCTCCATTAACTCAGGATCAAGCCTGAGTTGACAGAGAGAGTTGATGATCAGCTTCATGGTACCAACATAGCCGGATTGGACTGGTTTGGTCTTGTCAACTCAAAACTAGTCCTGTAACTAGGGCTGGGTATCAGATATCCTGATTCGATTCGATTTCGATTCGCAAGCTCTCGATTTGATTCGATTCTCGATTTTTTTTTTATTACATTCAATTAAATCCTTTTAAAGTGATTATTCCTTTAAAAATAAAGATGTATTAATATTTATTAGCAGTAGTAGCATTGAGTATTAAGACTGCTAAATAGTAATATATTCTGACAGTTTCTTAACGTTAAACTAAACTTTTATTTTGACGGGTTGCCGTGAAGAACTTGCAGCTGCTGTGTATGTGATATGACGGTAGTTTTCTCCTTTTTTTTGTATAGGGTCCTTTTTAAACAATAGAAGGGCCCTATAAAATGTTCTTAATTTTTCTGGTAATCAGATGAAGGCATAAAACATTAATTGAATTTATCCTAACCAAATGAAAATTAAACCCTTTTAAAGTGATTATTCCTTTAAAAATAAAGATTTATTCATATTTATTAGCAGTAGTAGCAGCACTTCACCTGAGCATCACGAATCATGCGTATGGCCATGAGAAGCGCTGAATGAATGACAGGCTTTCTGTTGTAACATCGCGCAAGGTAAATAAGGGTGACATCTAGTGGAGAAGACTAATGATAAGATTCTTGTTAATCAGATCTTATTTTAAATGTGTACAGAAATAAATACCGGAAAAAACATAGATTCGCGACTTTTGAGAATCGATATCGAATCGATGTCATTTAAAAAAACGATTAATCGAAAAATCTATTTTTTTTGCCCAGCCCTACCTGTAACCCCAAGTTTGTTCAGCCACCATCATGGTACAGGCCCCAGGTGTTATCAGCTTATTGTTGTTGATGACAAAATGAGTATGTAATGTGTTTTTAGTTTAGTTTTATATTTGGCATTTATAGCCACCAAGCCTTGTGAAGCTGCAGTACTGGCACCAATTGCATTGAATGAGCACTTATTCTGAAGGAGAACAAAATGCATGCGCATGAGATATTTTGAATAAACACATTATGTGGTCACACACAGACATCAAGGCTTTGCACATGAATCACAACAACGGTGATAATCAAAACAAACAAAAAAGCTTCATGCTGCAATGCATGACAGGTGGCTTTATAATACAAACTCATCCTTAAATCCCAAGCTTGATTGTCACCGTTGTTGCGATTCATATGCAAAATCTTTTTGTCTCATGATGTGCTTTTTAGTGTATATGCTTTTTATCCATAAATATAAACACAGAATTAAAACTCAGCATTAGATGCTAATTTTGTGATGATTTTGTCAACATTAACAAGATGAAAACACTTGATTTCGGGCTTTCTCTGCCTCAACAATTGTGCTTTACAAACACACTGTTACAGCAATCAAAGAAAAGCTAACACAAGAAGAATGAGAACCAAGATCCCAACTAAAGCAAACACTGTCCACCACAATGGTGACTTCAAATGAAACAAATATCAACATCGAAACCTCAATAAGAGCTTCTCTAGATGTCTGACAGAAATAAAGTCAGTCTGGTTAGTAATGAGTGAAGCTGCTGTTGTTTGTGGAGTTGTTTGATCCTCCTCTGCTGAGAACTTCAGAGATTTAATGTCTTTGATTTGCAGTTGATGATTTGATAATTTAATTATCTCATAAACTTCAACGCTGTTTCAGTGAAGACTCTTTTATTTTCATGGTTTTTGAACTCACCGTATCTGTGAGTTGCTTTGCATTAACAAATGAAAATTACATTGAAATAAATGTGAGTTTAAATTGAATGCATCCTGAGAGTGTTTATTTGGTCCAGAAACTGTATAAATTATGTCTAAATGAGGCCTTAAATGATGCTGAAATGATGTCCTCTGACCACATCTGAACTAGTTTCTAACCTTGCATGTTGCATGAACGTCTATATTCGAACACGTCAAAAAAAGACGTCATAAAAACTTTCATTCTGGCTCCTCAGTGGACATCTTTTCAACGTGTGCAAAGACTTTGGACGTAACTTTGCTCAGTGGACAATATGGTGTCTGGTTTATCTCGTAAGTCTCCTGTCACGTGTGGATCTTTGGACTTGGCTTGTTTGGCCAATTTCATTTGAACTCAAAGTAAGTCTTTTGAGAACTTCTTGCCTCTTCTTCAGATCGTTCTGCCAGTGTTTCTGGCCATGACACTTGTCTTTCACAGGTAATTCACTCTCATCAGGAAGATTACAGGTAAGTCTCTCATTTTCTGTAGGTTGTTCTCTCCGAATCTCCATCCCGCTCCTCATTCCTATCGGAGTCACAGGGGGATCCCGGTCTTGTCTGGTTTCTCTGAGTCATCTGTTTAGATTCTTCTTCTGACATTTCTATTGGTAAGTCATTAACCTGACGTAGATTCCTGTGTATAACTCTTGACCTTGAGCTGTCCGTCTCTGCTACCAATTGACTGGTCCATCATTTATACGCTCCTTGAAAATGTACACAATTTGCTCCCAATATTATCTCAATTTTCAGCAGCGCTCGTTCACTCCTGACAGCAAAATGGAAATATTTGCATGACTTTCTAACATTTACAGATGGAAAAAATACCTGTGACATGTCAGTTATACTGAGGAAAACACAACGTCTCAAATGCATTAAGCAGCACAGATATATTCGCTGTTTGCCATGGAGGACCGATTTGATCCATGATCGACATTAAAGGGGTCATATGATGCGATTTCAAGTTTTCCTTTCTCTTTGGAGTGTTGCAAGCGGTTCGTGAATAGATAAGATCCCTAAAGTTGCAAAGACCAAAGACCCAAAGAGATATTCTTTATAAAAGTTAAGACTGGTCCACGCCTCCTAAAA